ACGATGTTAAAATGATCACAGTGTGATAGGCACGGTCTAAAGCCTGAGCAGGGAATATTTTAATGTTGTGACATTACACGTGTATCAAAAAGTAAAGAAAAGCAAAGCAGCTCTGCTAAGCTTGCCATGTTTCTTATTACCCTGTGTGGTTTTGTCTCAGTGATCACAGCCGCTCCCTGCTGTTTGTGGCCTTTCTAGGAAAATAATAAGCCGTTCAGGTCTTTCCACTCTTACCACACACTCACACACAGTCACATGACTGTGAAGATCTGTAATCAGCATGTTTATATTCCTTTCAGTTGTTTGCTTTTGGTCGCTCAAGGACAACCCTTCATTATGTCACACACACTCACAAACACACACGAGCAGGTGCAGGTAACGATAGTGTAACCAGTCTGTTCTCTGATGCTGTGAGTGTGTCTTTGTGAAAGCAGCAGCACAGCAGAGACAGAGTAAAGGTGAAGGCCTCGTGTCACTGCACGCTGGGGTTTGGCCTTGAACTGCTATTTATTTTCACACACATGCACACAGACCTGTGCTCCCTAAATGTATGTGGCGCTGCTTCGAGACATGGACGCACAAGCACAGCAGCTGTTGCATGTTTATAAGATGACAGGTGCGGCTTGGCTGAAGCCGGCGATGCTCCGTTGACCTCGGTCCTGGTTTCTAACCTGCTGTGAGACAGACTGATGACGCTGTCAGAGAAAGTGCTCGTAGGCATGGGCCATATGATATTATTCACATCATATACTTCTATCATCATGTGCTGTTTCATGGCATAAACACGTCACCCCATTAAGCAGTGGATTGCGCTCACGTGGGTCATGCAGCACAAAGTTATATAAGTTGTGAAGGTGAAGGCAAATCTGTCTGGAAGCGTTACAGACGAAGATTTAAACCCCAAAAGAGCAGCTACTTCCCTGTTTGGGAAATGATTTTGGATATCAAAGCAGGTACAGAACAGAACACTATACCTCAGTCTGACTGTGCACTATATTAACAGCAGGTGGGAGCTGTGCGCCTCAAACCGTGAGACCAGCTACTTTCCCGAGGATCACACATTTTAGATTCGGTAGTGGATTTTATTTTGTAGGAACCGGTGGTTCGGGCCTCTGACTAGGATGCCTCCAGGTCCCACAGGGAGGATGCCCCGGGGCAGACCCAGGGCACGCTGCAGAGATGGCCTGGGAACACCGTGGTGTTCCCCCGGACAAGCTGGAGGAGTTGGCTGGAGAGAGGGAGGTCTGAGCTTCTCTGCTTAGGCTGCTGCCCCCGTGACCCGGTGCGGATAAGCAGAAGATGGATGGATTTTATTTTGTAATACTATTTATGTTTTATGCTGACTTTTTCAATTCAAAGAACAGAGGGAGAATTTTTATTTTCATACTTGAATACACTGCTGAATAAACTATTCCACTAAAAGTTACATGTGTCATATATATTTTTTAAGTTTTTATCAAATATTTCAAGGCAGCCTGTTGTGTTTATGCTGTCGAATTAATAACACCCAAATTTATTGTGAGAATCCTCTGAAATATCGTGATGTTATGTTTGGCACATATCCCTGTCGCTAGCTGCTCGTTCTAAACTCCCGACAGACAGAAGCTGCAGCTCAGAGGTGCAGTGAAAGCTGCTCTGTTGATCACCTCCTCTTGTCCAAGGCCTTGCCACGGCGGATGGATCTGCGTATTTGATTTGGCACAGATTTTACTCTGCGTGCCCTTCCTCACACAGCTCCCTTGTTTATCTGGGTTTGTGTTTCCTCACAGTCTCAAACTGGGGATCTTGTGCATGTTAGAGGGGGAAACTATCCTCGGAGGCTAAAGTGTTTTTCGTGTCTTGTTTTAGCTGTTTTGCCCTAATGCTTTTTAATGCATTTTAACCCTGTGGAGACCCACTCTCTGTAGGAGCCACTCTTGAGTGGCACTAAAGGAACTGCGCTGTGTTCTGTGTCTGCGACGGCTCATGTTTTAGCTCTAGAGATTTCCCCTTGGTAATAGCACGGTGGCTGCCTCCAACCTTTAGATACAGTCTGTGGTTCATCCTAGTGTGCAAACCAATATTAAGACAATAGACAGTTCTGCAGTTAAAGACGTTAATGCTGGAGGAGGAAGAGCTGGAAGGAACGTTTTGACTTCTTTGCAAAGGGTATGTCTGCAGTTAGGGCTGGGCCATATCATACCGTTCACGGTAACACCGGTATAATGTTGGGCAACGATAAGAAAATGAAATATGGCGATAGAATATGAGTAAAACGCACATGCGCAGTGCCTTTGTTTTCATACGCACATGGCGGAAAAAGCATGGCGGCGAATGAGAAGGTCGAAAGTGGATCGTTGAGTGAAACCATGAACCAGAACTGGTTTGTAAAAATGCTGCAGCTTCACTGGTGTGGAACTGGTTTAGCTTTCGTCCGTCAGACACACAACAAATCACTATTTTTGGTAGCGCATGCTAGCCGGCCGTCGTTATTACCGCGTTGTTTGGAAAATACGGCGCACTTAAAATCACTCCTTTGCTTTTTCTGAAAATCAACAGAGCCCCTTATAATCCCGTGTGCCTTATGTATGAACTCTGGTTGTGTTTACTGACCTCGAAACCATTTTATGTGCACGGCGCTCGAAAATCTGTCAAATGTTTTAGTACGACTTTGCTGAGCTACAAAGCCGCACCGCTTGATGGATTGTCGGAGCATTACGGCTATCGTAGGCAGGAGCCTCGCGGAGTGATACGTACTGTGCTTCAACATAATGTTACCGTATTGTGTGTGTTTAACCTCTTTAAGTTTTGTGGATATTATACATGGTTATGCTGAGGATGTGTCAGCCAGTTTCCACTGGAAATGCCTTTTGGTTAAACTGTCAGCGAGGAGTTTGCATTTGCACTGTTACATTTTTATATAACTTTAATGCACATAAACAGCTGCTTGTTTCAGTGAAAATACAGTGATGGATTTTGCACTAATAAAGTTGTGGAGTTGTAAAGTATTTTGTGTCAATTATATCGTCACTTATATCGTCATCACAAATTTTCAAATGTATATCGTGATAAATATTTTTGGTCACATCGCCCTGCTCTATCAGCAGTAAATGGAATATGACATGAAGGGCAGCTGTTTTGGGGTCGTATGCATCACAGTCCCAGGGGCATGGTAACAACAGATTACTGGTTTTGATTCGACACGGTGTGCAGATTTTGCCCCTAACCTGTAAAGGCCTGGTGGGGTATTAATGTGAGCTCATTGGGTGGAAACCATCTTTGTGAACATCATAACTTAGGAACAAGGTGACGTGGGATTTTCACATTGAAACCATAGTTGCATCTACTAAACGAGTTCAAATATCAGTTGTCTGAAAATGCAGGATGTCCGACAACTCAAAAAGACATCATCTCATCCTCTAGGATTTTCACATTGATTCAATAAGGTCATCTGCCAGGAGTCTGAGAGGGAGAACTGACAGCTACCAGCATTTTGATTTTAGTTTCTCATGCTCGCCCACACTCTTTTGCGTGCGTATGCAGAATTGACAAACATACATGTGGATGCACAGACAGACAGCGGCCTCACGGATGGGGCAGGACAGAGGCCCTCTGCAGCTGAAGCAAACATCATCTGCATGAGTATTACAAACCTCTCACTGACTGGCTGCCCGGCCCAGACTGTCAGTGTGTTAAAGATGCTTTTGCCCTCAGCTGAGCTGGATGCCATGTGCTGCTGCCCATAATAACAGGCTTTTGCAGGCCTATGTGGGTTAATCCACTGTTACATAAGGCCAATCCTAATGACTGCGTGTTTTGCTGCAGGTGATGGGTTTAATGGTGCACATGCTGAGTTCCACTCTAGAGCCGGACCCATGCTATTCATAGCATGAACACACACACAGTAACCTCGCACACTGTAAGGAGCGCTGAGCAGAGGTGGAGGCTATCCGGCAGCCTCCTACCCACAGTACAAAACTGAGTGTGGAAACACTGATAGATAAAGATTTAAATGCTTCTGACAAAGTCGTGCTGCATTCAGGGAAATCTAGAAATTTCAGCTGCTTGAACAGTATGACTTTAGCTCTCTACACATCACGATCATCCAGAACAGCCTGCAACACACATCCTAATCCCGTTGCCTCTGATTGCCACCAAAAACCCTTCTCATGTGTTTGCGTTCCCGTATTTCTTGTGTCAAGATCTTAAAAGTTTTAAAGGAATACATGGAGTGACCTCATGGACGATGCGTTTGTACGTTATATAAATCAGGCAACGCTTCAGTTCAAACAGGTCATGAAGTCGAGCTCCACGCAGTCCCGGCAGATCAGCTGATCCCAGAGCCTGCCCATATCAGCTGATCCCCTCCTGCGTAAACCTCACACAGGTTGGGCTTTTTAAGCCGTTTTAGCCTACCAGGAGTTGTTGCATATCTGCAAGCCACTTTGCAGCCCAGCTCCACCTCTTTCAATGCTGTCAGTAATAATATCATTACCGCTGATGCCTGCTGTGTTCTGTGCTGAGATCTTCTTACAGGGAGGACAGGACAGAGCTGCGTTTCCCAAAACACAACGGTCCTGACTGAGATATAAGAGTAGCACCGTGCACACCTAGTAAACAGAAACACTGAAATGTGTCCCCACTGTCGGTATCTCTGAACAGTTTTGTCAGGATGACCTTTTTTTATGTAAATATAATTGTTGAACTGTCAAAACCAGTATGGACATGTGTGGGTGCGCTGTAATACTAACGTACAGTACAACAGAAACCTGCACGCCGTCTCTGCTTTTACACTCACGCAACCACTAATTAAGAAAGATCACATGGTCACTTTGGTTTAAACACACTAGATTTTACTGCAGCTCTGTTTTGCCAACAGAGGCTGTGTGTTGTGTTATGAGTCATCCTATAATCCCAATCGTGTGTGTGTGTGTGTGTGTGTGTGTGTGTGTGTGTGTGTGTGTGTGTGTGTGTGTGTGTGTGTGTGTGTGTGTGTGTGTGTGTGTGTGTGTGTGTTCCAGAGGATGTCCTGCCTCGGGATGCAGGAGAATGTGCCATCTGCCTGGAGGAGCTGCAACAGGGAGACACCATCGCTCGCCTGCCCTGCCTCTGCATCTACCATAAAGGGTTAGAACCTCGTTTGTTTTCCTTTTCATCTAATAGTACAGTAGCAGTATAGTGGTCCCAGCTGAGGTGTGGCCTTAGCGACACAGTTCAGTCCCAGGAGGTCTTTTTAAGGAAATACAAGCTTGCTTCAGCCACTTCACTGTCTGCATTTCCATCACAGTGACGACTTGTGAAGATTAGGCAAAGAAATGCTGGGATGTTCTTATTGATCTTACCGATTCCAGTCTCACGCTCATATCTGGCTGCAATGAACAAACCCTCTTTAGTTCCCTCCCTAAAAGTGTTCCTGTGCTGAGATCAGTCAGAGAGGCGGTAAAACAGAAGAGCGAGCACTCCTAACTTTGGAAGATACCCACTTGATTTGACTGCTGAAGCCTAAGCGAGCTTCAGAGGAGGGATGTGTTTTGCATAGTGGTGTGTGGCTCTTGTCACTCATCATGAAATGAGAGCAGCACGCAAACACGGCTATAACAGAAAGAGGAAGCAGCAGTGTCAGTTTAAACTGATGCAAAAATGAGGTTCAGGGTTAAAAAGAACAGTCATGCTGACAGCGAGGGACGAGCACTTGAGTCATGCACACTGTGGCGCTGTCACGTTATTTCCTTTTCAGACCAAACATTGTTACATTATGTCAGACGATTTTGTTTTATTTCCTTATATATTTTTTGTTTATCTGAACACATACGTGTGTGTGTGTGTATATCTACATATATATTCGTATCTGTAAATGAAAATATATGTAGTGTGTATATATTGTTTTTTGTTTTATATGTCTGAAACAATAAAGATACAATACAATACAATACTATTTCACAGAGGGCCTAGATTGGGCTTAAAGTGGATTTATTGATATTACCTTCAGTATTTACTGAACTGGCCTGTCAGCTGGTATCAGCTCACTGTTTTAAAATCAACCCCACACTTTATCATGTCTTGGCTGCAGTTTTATAGCCACGTGGTAATTTTAGTCCTTCTTTAATAACTGAACATGAATCTGGCCTTTTCTGGCTGCTGCCCTTTCAGAGATGCTACAAACTTAAAGTGTAGACCAGCAGACACAGACATCCTTTGATATGACGGCACCCACACCACTGAACATTACTTCACCTTTGAGCTTTCAGTAGTTTCAGGCAAAGACTGTATTTAAAAGATGGACAAGTCTGACCTATGAATGTTAAAATGCTTTAAAGGCCAGCGATGGGTGACTCCTTCTCCGAGTTTGACCTCAGCAAACACTGCCCAGGTGACTTTATGGTCTCGGCTGGTAGTTTGAGGTCAGATTGTAGAAAACATGAGGTTCATTTTGTAAGTTATAGTCAGAAAGCAGGATAAACCGGGGAGCGCTCATTGGCTAATGAAATGCGAGGGTTGCATCAGCCTTCAAGGCACCAAGAGCAGTGGTGAAAACCGTCAGCCTGAGGTTTTGAGGCTTCACTATCCAACAGGAAGTTTGTTTCAGCTGTTTTTCATATGAATGCTATCTGTGTTTGTAATGAACTGGACACAGCTGTTTGGTTCCTTTTAAAGTGTGGCTCTACATACATAAATACATGAGGATATTGTAAGTATGTAAAGCATGTTTGCTGATAGTTAATAATAATGTTTTGAATTCCAATCATTTGAAGGAGGAAAGTGTTTAACTGCTTTGTTCTTTCATTTTCGATACATTACATCAGACCCCACTGTGGTGCTCTGAAAGAGGAAACACGTGTGCTTTCTGTAGCCTGAGTGGGTCAAGTCCAACACGGTCCACTACATGTACATGTGACGAGACTACTGCACACCAGCAGGTGTCGCCAGACGCAGCAAAATGGACTTCATGAGCTCTACGAGGTTTACTTTATTAATGCCAGGGAGAAGGTGCACGGGTAAATGTTCCAGTGTTAACCATGCTTTGTACCACACGAACAAGTGAAAATAGCCGTAGGTGTAAAGTCTGATGAGGTGCATCGTGGCGGAATGACTCGGGCAGCATCGCTCTTCTCACGCTGTCTCACTGACTCCTCCCATCTTGTTTTCTCTCCTGCAGCTGTATCGACGAGTGGTTTGAGGTGAACAGGTCCTGTCCTGAGCATCCATCGGATTAAAGCTTTCATTGCACAGGTAAAATCCACATCCACAGACGTAAAGATGGTATTTTTTAAATGTCAGCATCTGGTTCTTTTCTGTGATTTCAGGAACATGAGACGTCCCCAGAGGGATCTGCAAAAATGAAATCCCTGGATTCAGGGACTCTGCTGGACTCTATGACCACTGTGATCAGTTAGCACCCTTCCTCCCACAACCCACCCACCCAATAATGTAGTACCACAGTGTGCCAAATGTCATTTAAGCAATCTTCAGGGATACAAACTTGTGTGTTTTATGTTTAAGTTGCACATCTACACTCAGCATCAGAGTTGACAGACTCCTCCAGCCCTGACGCTCGGGGCATCACCAGTATACACCAGTACACCAGTATGGAGGAGGAGGAGGGAGACTGTTGGCTGACGCGCTCCGACTCGCCCCCTCCCCTCCTCCGTCAGCATCAGTGTCTCCCAGTGCCTTGTTGTAGCGACGCTCGGCACGCAGCAGCCAGGACAGAGGGGAGTCCAGACTACGGCCGAGCCGGCTGTCCTCCACCCAACGCCCTACAACCCCCACCACCACCAGGACCATCTTACCACAACTGCCATTCTACCCGAGCAGGAGAAACAAGCCAGAGACGGCGTGTCTGCGTCTGCAGCTTCTCGCAGCTAACAGTGCTGCTGCAAAAACGGTGCCAGTCAACTGTGACTACTGTCAAACACTCAGTCATCAGTGCTTTTTAGACCCCGCCCACACAGGTACAGGAGCCCAGTCCATCACTCACCAGCCTAAACCCACTGCAGCACATTGCTGCTACTTCTCTGACACGATAAGTGTTGTGCATGCCAGAACAATGGGACACAACAGCATGTGGCAAAATGAGACTCAATTAAAAATCCACCCATCCTGTTTTTTAACTGCTTATCCGACTTCAGCCGCGTCCACACGGGGAGCGGTTCTTCCCCGTCCGAGTCTCTTCTTTCCCTCAAGTTAGCCCACATTCCTGGCTGGAAAAGGCTACAGCCCGACTTTTGGATACGTGGTTAAGAAAATGGATGGATGGAGATTTTAACCCTCTGCTAGTAAAGCTGGAGCTTCACTTTCAGACATCACGTTCACCTCCACAGACCAGACCCAACTTCATCAGGACCTGAAATACTTTGTCCCCACCAGCAGATGTCAGTCTGTAGTTTTCCAACAAAGCACCAGGATCTTGAGGTATAACATCCAGGCTGCCGTACACGTGGCTGCAAACGGCTCCAGTGCATGCTGCAGAACCTGCATGAACCTGCTTATTCAACACCAGGGTAAAGAGCACGTGAACAGAATATGTCTGGACATAAATAATGTCTCGTTCCATCATGGACGGGATCTGGTAACGAGACAATGTGGGAAAACCTTTCAAGACCTTCAGTTTTTAGCTTTGTGTTCCTTCCTGTAAAAATGAGCTTCAGTTTTTTTTTATCACTTCTGTCAGCTCGTGTTCATTTCTGCATCATAACCGTAGCAGCTGCAGGTAAACCGAGCCCTCACGGTACAGTGTTGCACCAGACTGAGACGGTTTACTTGTGAGGAGCTGCAGGACTATAAAGGTCCCAGGAAAGCAGTGAGCTCTGTGAAGCTTTTTCAGGCACTGACCGTCACACTGGGAGTCAGCAACTTGATCTCGATCCTGGCAAATGCAGCAGTCCAGGTGCTGAGGCTGAGGGAACGTAAGCTAAACAGAACTGGAGGGACTAACTGGACCTGTCTGTTTGGGGTTAGGTGTGCCTGAAGACCTCGCTGAGGAACCAGTCAAGTCCCTGATACTGATTTCACCAACAAGCTCACGCTCAGCCTTGGAGGACGAGCTAAGTTCAAACCCATCTACTGATCCAGGGCTTGTGTGGATCCCAAAGCTCCAAAACACCTGAAACTTGTCATCCTTTTCCCTCAGTCTCTTTTGCCTGTGAAGACTAAATGCACCCCTTCCTGATTGCGCAGTCAGTCTGTGAGCGTTTGCTGGGGTTGCAAAGAGGATGCTACACCAAAAACCTCCTTCCAGTTGCTCTGGTTGCGAGCAGATTGCCGTGGCCACCTTTAGATGATCAGTAAGTCGTTAGTGAATGTCTGAAGACAAGTCAGCGACCTCCATACAAACTGCGAGTGACCACAGCAGCAGCCTGTACCTCTCTGTGACCACTGACTACCACTACCACTCACCCACCAATCAGAGAACACACGTTTTTCTCTCGCAACACCAGGCAGCCACTCAGTGACCTCCAGGCTTCTGTGATTAGTTTCTCATCTTGTAATTATCATCATTAAATGAACAATATGCAGTTATAAGTGATATTTGGGATTTTCTTTTTATGCTTGAAATCATGCAGAAGCTGCATCGTGTTATGGAGGTGGAGACTGGCTACGAACCCGAGGTTTTTTTAAGATTTGTCATTTTGGTAATTGAACTTATTTACATAGTAAAGTGTTTGAAATCAAACATTAATATATTGTTTTAAATATGAGAATAATGGGAGACAGAAACATGTCTGTTTAGATGTGTGCCTTCTAGTCTGTAGAGACAGGATCCTTTTTGTTTTGCAGTTTGTGTAGTTGCTGCTCTCCACCACTGGGAGGCAGTGCGCTCTCACTTATGATCTTGATGTGCTTGACGTTATTTTTGAGATTTTTATCATGAAAGCAGGACATGAAAGGGTCCTGTGTCGTCTGTGATCTTAGAGACCGTGAGAAAATGATGGCGGTGCGGAGGGAGGGAAAATGGTTTTAATAGAATAACCATGGTTTACGTTTTATTATTGCTTTCCTACACATTCCTCAAACGCTCACTGATTTGTGCGAAGTCAACATTCATTTTGTGCTTATATAAATATGTAAAAAGAATCACAGGCAGCAGTTTGTTTGGTTTTTGTATCTCCCAAAAATGATTCAATGGCTGAAAAGATTTTATAATGATGTTTTTATGATCATGCTAACTTTGCTTTTTATTGTGACTCTTGCTGCGTTCACCGTGTCTTCCGTGACATGTAATGTGTGTGTTGGGGGGTGTATTCTGTGAAAGTATGACGTTTTTTAAGATGAAACACTGGACTCTGTGAAATGTAAACTTTTTACATCATTAAAAGTTTTCATGAGCAAATGACAGAAGTGCAGAACACGCCGACCCCTGTAGCCCCTCCTCTCACTGACCATTTTCACACGGTCCCTCACTGAACACACACACGTCTCGTGAGTCAGCTGGGAGTCGTTGTTGAATGTATTGAAGCTAGTGTGGTTCTCTGGTGGGCGTTTGGAGTTTTGGGATCCACCCCGGCGCACTCATGACTGCTGAATCGTCACACTGTATTCTGGAAATCGGACGGCCACACGGAGATTAACCGAGCCCGGTGACACGCTCCCTTCGCACAGTGCGTGGAGGCAGGATCGGTGCGTTTGTAGCGACAGAGCGACCACGTGGCTGCTTGATGGACATCTCACGGGGCTTTGACTGTACCGTCATCTCTCTCTCTGATCTGAATTCTGCAAGAGATTACAACCACTTTCCCCTGACTGATCATGCAGCTGATTCCTGTGAGCAGGTCCGCCTGTCTTTTCATTTCTGTCTGTGAATTTATGAGGAAATGTGCAACAAATCTGGCCTTAAAAGATGACTTTGACGTTTCACTCTCCTGTCCGTGTGGGTTTTTGTATTGCCATCATTTTGCAATAACACAGACACCTCTAATACCACAGTGGCTCTGACACCACGCTGAATCCTTGAACTTTTACGGGAAAGGCTGGCGTTAAATGAGAGCATGTTACGAGTGCAGTTAAATTATAGTTGCAACTCTGTAGCAAAACATTTCCAGAGCTTTCTGCCACGTGGCGTGGTCTTCCTCAGGAGATGACGTTATATCTGAGCTCAGTACGGGACTTTGGTTACATCAGCACACATCCAAAAACTCCTGTAAATGTCACGGGAGGCTCGTTCCTGATCAGAGCCCACAGACCCACGCGTAAACACGCCTGGCGTTGCTTTACAGCTGGTACAAGAGCAAGCTGAGGAGTCAAAGTCACCAGCTGTCATTTCACCCATCGTCACTCGAAGTCACCCAGTGTCAGTGACCTTTCATACTCTGATGACACTTTAATCTCGATTCAGACTCTGTGGCTGTTTTCTGACGTTTCACAGCTTTCCTAGTGAGAAAGACCTCCACAGATAATTAAATAAGAGAAAAGTTCCAAAATTTTTAAGAGGCCACAATAAAGATCGTATAGATGAACTGAGACATAATGTTGACGTACGTCTTCTTCTTCTTTCATGTATGAACATATGTGAGGGATTCATTGCATGGTTAGATACATTTACACTGACGGAGGTGTGTCACAGCCCAGGCTGTAGCCAGGATCTACCCTAACGTCAGCCGAACGCCATCCAATCAGAGCCCTGTAAATCTGTCTTACAGAGTGATTAATAAAGTTAAACTAATGACAGGTGTTATTAGTTGCAGTGACGCCCCATTAGATGCTAAATGACAGTCCACACCATGATGGGAGCTGGGTGAACTCTTTCAGTGACCAGCCTCAGATTCTCAGTTCTCCAATGGCTTTTTGCATTATTGTGTAACTTGGGTCATCACGATGGGGCTTCCCCTGTTTGCACTGGCAGGCAGAAATCCCCTGCACAGCCTGCAACTCGCTGGAAAGAAAGAAAAGAAAATCTGGCACTTATTACTGTAGGCACATGGAGGCTGATCAATACTGGACCTTTGCTTATTCCAAAGAATAAAACAGTTCTAATGTGAATATATGAGACGGTCCTGCCTCAGACTTTATCCAGTTATTAGGTCTCTACTGTCTGAAGAAGCACAAGGTAAATGTGCTGGGTTCATGACGCTCCCAGCATTTTGGCCATCATCATCATCATCATCATCTTCTCATTTTGAAACCACACATGGTGAGCGAGGGAGGAGAACGAACCTGAAGCTAAGTAAAAGTAAGTGGTGGTGCAGACTACAGCCTGCTGAGGGAAGGTGTGGTGTGTTTATACCTGAACTCAGGTAAGTGGCAGAAAGCTGAGACAAATAAACCAATAAGAAAAAGAAGAAATCACTCAAAGATCAAACGAGAGGCTCTGAGAGCTGCTGGTTGCTGCTGTGTTTGATAGTGTGCACCGAGAGAAACAGTCCCAGCATGCTTTTTATCTGCAAACTGTGGGGTCTGAGCCCCGACAAACAATCTGTACAACAAAAGAATCATAGCAAGCTTGAATATTTCTGTATGTGCATCCATAGAAACAGGATTTCACAGCATGTAGGTCTGTTAGCCTGTGGGGTCCAAGCAGCTAGCAGCCTGGGTTAATGTTCATACTGAACAGCACATCAAGGCACCTGTGTGTAAGGAGCTCCGGCTCTCTGAAACGACCACGCTGCCTGTTTGTTTATTAAAGATTACCTGGACCAATCAGACGGCTGCTTGGACAATGTTTTTTAACTGAATCGACCACAATGAAGCATTTTGCTTTGTTTTCTTCCTAAACAAACACGCACAAACATTCCAACATGACTTGAGGCCATGTGTAAAACACGTTGGTAGTGATATACTGACGTGTTGGCCACGTCTGAAACAGTCGAATCAAAGTCTTCGCCCGT